AAACAAAAATTTAAAGCTAAGATAGTCCTTTTTTTATTATTTATTTAATTTCTCATCTTTTCCACTTGCTAAAATCACTCTCATGTCATTTTCTTGTAGTGAATGGTGGGCAAGTATTGTGAGGAACGCCGATGGAAAGAGAGAAATAATGTGAAAGAATTCATGTAAGTTGGCGGGTTCATTTCACTAAACTTAATCTAATATTAGTTTTTCTTCAAAGTATCCTTATTAGTAAATGAGAAGTAAGGATAACATGGTTTAAATTTAAGGGGTATTTTAGTAAATTTAAATATTTGATTCATTTGAAAATGTGAAGTTCATTTTCTAATTCCATCAAAGATAAGGTTGAGACTAAACATGTGATGCAATTGGTACAGATAAAAATATCATCAAGACGAAGACTAACTATTCGGGATTCTTTCAAAGAAAATAAAACCATAGAGACTAAACGTTGCCCAAATAATGTCGTTTGTCAAGAATAATTTATGTGATCTTTTACTTGACATCTTGTGATAATTAATTAGAAGGACCCTATACCCAAAACCATGATTTTTGAAAGTGAAAAGAACAGAATGAAGATGAAGCTCAACCAAATTGAAGATTGTGTCAAGGAAATTTAATTTTTTGTGTTGGTGTCTGCTCAGTTCTCAAAACCATTCTGCTCTACTTAAATATAACTGTAGGGGAACATCAAAGAAATAAAAGGAGAAAGCATTAATTTAGAGTTGGGTGGGGTGAAGATTAAAGTAAGATACCAGTTTGACGAATTTTAATAAAAAGGTAAGGTGGACCTTCACGATGTAACAATACATGCAAAAAAATGAGTATTGGGAAATTGGAACACGCTCAAGTGAAAGAAGTGGAATACCATTGACTTGTTAACTTAATTACCAACTCTTGTCCCTCGTGGAAACACAAGTCAATTAACCAACTTTGGAAATCTTGTTTCCTGGAAGCATCCTACTAAAGTTATTGAGAATGCAACAGAGAAGAGAAGACTGACCTTTGATTTTACCTATAAGCAGGAGCCCCTTAAATCCAAAACCTAAAAAAGAAAAAAAAATTACTAGCATGATTTCTATTTCATTTATCTCATTTTTATAATTTGATTAAGGAATAACTATTCTATCAACTAAACAAGTTAATAAGAATAAGAGCATTAAACTTGCAGAATTCAGATTTCAATTTTATTTCTGTTGCAGCTAGCTTGTTCTTCATTCCTTACAAACTAAATGCTGGAATCAAACAGGTAAAACACCAAAATGATAGAATAAAACACACATAAATTATAATTTAGCACACAGAAATCAGAATTCAGATTGTAGTCCTATCTGGTTTCATAGCAA